ATACATGAAGAAAGCAAGAGGTCATTAAAAAGACAGCAAAGAAAGAAAAGACCAAAATGGATGTCAGAAGAGACTCTGAAACTTGCTCTTGAACATCGAGTAGCTAAAGCGAAAGGAAGAAATGATGAAGTAAAAGAGCTGAACAGAAGATTTCAAAGGGCGGCTTGAGAAGACAAAGTAAGGTATTATAATGAAATGTGCAAAGATCTGGAGTTAGAAAAACAAAAAGGCAGAACGTACAGCATTTCTCAAGCTAAAAGAAATGAAGAAAAAATTCAAGCCTCGAGTTGCAATAGTGAAGGATTCTATGGGGAAAATATTAAAGGACGCAGGAAGCATCAAAAGAAGATGGAAGGCATACACAGAGTCACTATACCAAAAGAATTGGTTGACGTTCAACCATTTCAGGAGGTAGCATATGATCAGGAACCGACGGTACTGAAGGAAGAGGTCCAAGCTGCACTGAAGGCATTGGGGAAAACAAGGCTCCAGGAATTGACGGAATACCAACTGAGATGTTTCAGCAAATAGATGCAGCGCTGGAGGTGCTCACTTATCTATGCCAAGAAATTTGGAAAACAGCTACCTGGTCAACCAACTGACTGAAAAAGAGCCGTATTCGTGCCCATTCCAAAGAAAGGTGACCCAGCAGAATGAGGAAATGATCGAACAATATCACTAACATCACACACAAGTAAAATTATGCTGAAAATCATTCAGAAGCATGTTGCAGCAGTACATCCACAGGGAACTGCCAGAAATTCCGGCCGGGTTCAGAAGAGGACGTGGAACCAGGGATATCATTGCTAATGTCAGATAGGTCATGTCTGAAAGCAGAGAATATCAGACAGAAGTTTGCTTGTGTTTTATTGACTATGCAAAGGCATTGGACTGTGTGGATCATAACAAATTATGGATAACACTGTGAAGAATGGGAATTCCAGAACACTTAATTGTGCTCATGAGCAACCTGTACATAGACCAAGAGGCAGTTGTTCAAACAGAACAAAGAGATACTTCGTGGTTTAAAGTCAGGAAAGATGGGTGTCAGGGCTGTATCCTTTCACCATACTTATTCAATCTGTGTGCTGAGTAAATAATCTGAGAAGGTGGACTATATGAAGAAGAATGGGGCATCAGGATTAGAGGAAGACTCATTAACAACCTACAATATGCAGGTGATACAACCTTGCTTGCTGAAAGTGAAGAGGACTGGAAGTACTTACTGGTGAAGATCAAAGATCACAGCCTTCAGCATGGATTACACCTCCACATAAAGAAAACAAAAATCCTCACAACTGGTCCAGTAAGGAATGTCATGATAAACGGAGAAAAGATTGACGTTGTCAAGGATTTCATTTTACTTGGATCCACAATCAACGCCCACGGAATCAGCAGTCAAGATATCAAATGACATATTACATTGGGCAAATCTGCTGCAAAAGACCTCTTTAAAGTGTTCAAAAGCAAAGATGTTACTTTAAGTCGCACCTGACCCAAGCCATGGTGTTTTCAATCACCTCATATCATGCAAAAGCTGGACAATGAATAAGGAAGACCAAGGAAGAGTTGATGCCTCTGAATTACAGTGCTGGCGAAACATACTGAGTATACCATGGACTCTGCTAGAAGAACAAACAGCAACGAAGAAAAGAAGGAACCAATCTGTCTTGGAAGCAGTACAGCCAGAGTGCTCCTTAGAAGCAAGGATGGCGAGACTTCGTCTCACGTACTTTGGACATGGTATCAGGAGGGACCAGTCCCTGGAGAAGGACATCATGCTTGGTAAAGCAGAGGGTCAGCGAAAAAGAGGAAGACCCTCCACGAGATGGACTCACACAGTGGCTGCAACAGTGGGCTGAAGTGTGGCAACGATTGTGAGGGTGGCGCAGGACTGGGCAGTGTTTTGTTCTGTTGTACACGGGGTCGCTATGAGTCGGAACCGACTCGACGGCACCTCACAACAACAGATATATTTGCTTATTTCATAGAAGTGAGATCGTACAGGATTTGTCCTTTTTAGTCTGACCTGTTTCACACAGCATATTTTCAAGGTTGACCCAAGTTGTAGATGCGTCAGGACTTCATCTCTCCTTGTTGCTGGGTGATATTATAGAACGTTTTTGAAATGACAAAATTATAGAAACAGAAGATCAGTGGTTGCCAGGACTTAGGGGTGGGAACCAGGGCGGGAGAGGTCGGCTAGGGTTGGGAAAGGGCCCCATGGGGATCCTCACGGTGAGGGAGTGCTCTGTCCTGAATGTCACTGGCAGTATGCTGGCGGTGATACTGCAGTTGGCTGCGAACCAAAAGGTTGGAGGTTTGAAGCCACCAGTGGCTCTGCAGGAGAAAGGCCTGGCAATCTGCTCCCGTAAAGATGACAGTCGAGAAAACCCAGTGGGGCGGCTCTGCTTTGTCACTTGGGGTCGCTCTGCGTCAGAATCTACTCGACACCAGCTAACCACAACCCCTGGGGAAACGTGTAAAGGACCCCCAGAATCTCACTCTGTTTTTTACTTCCAACTACATGTGAATCTACAATGATCTCAAAATACAAAAGTGCAACAAAAATAAATGAAATATTTTGGAAAGGAAATTAAAATTGTCTCAGATGGTAATGAAGCAGGTATCATTGGCGAATTACAGGATTGTCTTCTGGGGGAGGGAGAGGTCGGTGAGGGGCTCTGACCCGCCCCCCGCCCCCTCGTGCAAACAGTTCACTTGCTCGGCTGCTCATCAAAAGGTTAGAGGTGCCAGTCTGCCCAGAGACACCTAGAAGAAAGGCCTGGTGATCTACTTCTGAAAAATCAGCTGTTGAAAACACCATGGAGCACAGTTCTACTCTGACATAGTTGGGGTCGCCTTGAATCAGGGTCGACCCAGTGGCAGCTGGTATAAGGATGTTGGGGAGAGGAAATAGGTCAATAGGTGTCATTTGGTGCAGGAGAAACAAAACGTCCTCCCCACTGTCCCCAGAGAACAGTGCCTGAGCTGAAGGTCTACCTGGGGGAGCTGCTTTATCTCAAATCATCTCAATAAAACATGAGCCCTGGTTCGTCAGAAAGTTCCAGATGATCCTGCAGAATCAAGTCCGTGCCTTTCAGTCCCTGGCAACCTTCATCCCCGAGGCCCTGGAGTCTCAGGCATGAACTTCTCCCTTGTAGCTGGCCCTGCACCTCCCGGAAAGCCACCACAGGGCAGAAAACGAAAGCTAACTCTTCTGGCTTGTGCCTGCCTGGCAGCGAGCGGCAAAACCCAGGTCACGCAGCAGCAAAACCCAGGTCATGCGACTTGGCCGTGGACCAGGGAGAGCCCCGGCCTCTGCTTCACTTTCCCGCTTTGGAAAGTTGGCCGGGAGAGCTTGGGCAGGAAGGCTGAGGCGCCCTCCCTGCACACAGCGGTCACCCGCCTCATCCTGAGCCTGGTCGTGGTGGGGTTCTGAGTGAGTGAGTAAACCTCACAGTCCCGGGACCTCCAGAGAAAGAGTGACTTACCCAGGCCCCCAGCGTTCAGTCCAGAGGACAGCGGGTCTCCCTGCAGGCTGACTTTGAGAACATTGAGAAGCGTCTGGCCCCCATGTCTGTAGTGCTGTGGGGAGAAACCCTGCATTAATTATTTGGAAAAAACTTGCTTTCAGTCCTTGCTCACACCTTACACCAGAATAAATTCCCGATGGTCAGCTGGTGTAAACCAGGGGACCCCCCAGCGCCTGTGATTTCCCCCCTCTCTCCTCCCCACTCAGTGTGTGGATTTAAATGTGGGCAGAGTCCTAGGACATCAGGAGGTCAGATGATTATGGTATGCAGAGTCTCTTGGGGGTGAGGGGGATCCCCTAATCCAGGGGTCCTCACTTAGGTGATTCTGCTTCCAGGGGACACTGGGCGATGTCTGGGGACATTTGTGGGTGTCAGGACTGAGGGGGTGCTACTGGCATTGAGTGGGTGGAGGCCAGGGGGGCTGCTCCACGCCCTGCATTGCACAGGACAGCCCCCCACCCCAGAGAAGGATGTAGTCCGTGTCAGCGGTGCCGACGGGGAGGGGGCGCCCTGGGGCAGAGCCAGGCTCAGAGAAAATCCCGATGCTTTTTTCCCACGTGCCCGTCTTTCCAAGTCAACCAAGAGGCAATGCTGTGGATTCTTGGACCGTCCTGCGTCCCTTCTGGGCGTAACCCCCGAGCACGTCCCCTCAGTGGGCCTTCCCCCCCAGACCTGGGGGCTGGGGCACCGGGCCTTCCACCCCAGACCTGGGGGCTGGGGCACTGTCAGGGAAGGAGGGAGCGCGGTGCACAGGCATCCCACCTCCGCTTCCTCAGCCCTCAGTCCTGGGGCGTGCTGCGTGCCTCCGTCCGTCCATGTCCATCCGTCTGCCCGTCCGTCCGTCCGCCGGCCCTCCCCTCTCACACCCATCTGCTTTCCCCACAGCTCTCTGGACGCCGGGGGCGGAGCAGATGGCAGACAATGTCAGCCACTAACAACATAGCCCAGGCCCGGAAACTGGTGGAGCAGCTCCGCATCGAGGCCGGCATCGAGCGCATCAAGGTGAGCGGCTTGGGGGCGCGGCCCGGGCAGCTGGACCCTGTGGGCCTGGCATGCAGCAGGCGGTGGGCACAGAGGCAGGAGGGCATCATACAGAGAGCGAGTGCAGCCGAGCCAAGGGACACGGCGGTGTGGGCTCTGGCTGCGCCTCTCGCTGTGTGGCCTCCAGCCACTCACTAAACCTCTCTGAGCCTTGATTTCCTCAGCCTAAAGACGCGGCTGATCTGACACCTAAGTCGGACGTCCGTGCTTTGTGGAGGCAGCAGGACCAGACGCAGGGCTGGACGGGGCCACAAGCACTGGTCCCCTGCTTTTAGAAGTGGGGATCCCCAAACAGAATGTCAAATTCTCTTGGAATCCAGACTTTCTGGAGCTATCGAGAACGGAATACCACCTGAAACCATTCCCCTGAGGAAATCTCTAAACCCTGAACTGAAACTATCCCCTGGAGTCTTCTTTCAACCTGTAATAGTTTAGCCTAATTAGAAAAGAACGTCTGCCCTGAGCATTGTGCTCTCTGAAGAATGATCTGTGTGGGATCAAATTGACCCCAGCAACTCGAAAGGATAGATGGGAACCTTCAGGGCGGTGAGTTTGTGTTAGCGATGGTGAGGTAAGTTTGGGAAAGCTTGTCGTGAGAGGTGGCCCAGCTTGAAGAATGTGACCAGTGTCCCTGAATTGTACATGTGGACATTGTTGAAGTGGTGTATGTTCTGTTGTGTATATTTTCACCCAAAACAAAGGAGCTGGGGTCCAAGGCTGAAGGGTCAGCTCGAGATGGGCACAGCCTCCGTCTTTCCTGCCTTTGTCTGCAGAACTCTGTCCGGCTTTTTCACTGTGGCTGGTGCCTGGGGAGTCGGAAACGGCTTTGATCAGCCTCCGAGCCCCTGGCCCGGCTCGGAGCCCTCCCTGACCCCGGCTCCCCGGCCAGCCAGAAGGTCTGCCCTGCAGACCCACGACGACAGGGCTGCCTCCCCAGAGGGGCCGGCATGTTCTAGAACGCTGCCTGCCAAGCAGAGACCTGAGCACTCAAAGCATTCCTTCCGGCTTCAGAAAGAGAGCCTGGTTGAAGTGGTTTTGCTTCTGTGAGCCCATGGCAGCCCGGCCCTGCTGGAGCGATGTTCATCTTGCTGTTTGATGTCGGGGTGGAGTCCCTGCTGCCCCTTTGAAAGTCGGGGGGGGGGGGACAGGGCTGGACTGAGGCCTCCCCCACAGCCCGCCTGAGGTTTGGGCCCCCTGCAGAAAAAGAGACAGCACAGCTTTGGTGAGACTGACAGGCCAGCCTGGCCACGGCCTGACAAACGAGGGGCCCCTCGGCCGGCCACCCGGGAAGTCCCACTAGGCAGTGATTAACTCGGGGCCCCAAGGCCCCAGGGCAGGACCTGGCGTTTTGGAAACGAGCTTTCCCGTCAGGGCCGGAGTGAGGGGCATGCAGGCACTTCCAGGGTCCGGAGACTGTTTTTGCTGTCTTGGATGGTCGCTTTCCAAAGACCACCGGGTGCCATGGCGTCATCTCCAACTCACGGCACCCCGACGTATGTCAGAGTAGGACTGTGCTCCATAGGGTTTGTTTTTTTTTAATAACTTATTTTTGTGTGTTGTTCTTGGGAATACGCACAGCAGGACATACGCCAATTCAGCAGTTTCTACGTGTACGATTCAGTGACACCGATGACATTCTTCGAGTTGTCCAACCCTTCTCACCCTCCTTTTCTGAATTGTTCCTCCCCCACTGACATAAACTCGCGGCCACCTAAGTTTCCTGTCTAACCTTTGGAGTTGCTATTGTCAATTTGATCCCATATAGATGGTTCTTCCATAGGGTTTTCAGGGGCTGATTTTCAGAAGTAGATCACCAGGCCTTTCTTCCGAGGCACCTCTGGGTGGACTCGAACCTCCAGCCTTTAGGTTAGCAGCTACGCACACTTGCCGTCTGCACCACCCAGGGGTTCCAGTTTCCAGACAGAACTCTAGAAACCAAGCTTGATCGGCACTTACTGAACAGGGGCCACTGTCACTGTCGGTGGGTAGGAGGGCCCCCAGGACAAGCCACTGGGCTGCCCCACTTGGCAGAGCCTGGAGAACGGGTATCAGCTCTCGGGGACACAAGAGGATGAGGCTCCAGCATCCCCAGGGCCGCCTTTTTACTTTATGGGGGAGAGGGTGGGGGCGGGGAGGGCGGAGGTGGAGAGGTGCCCGAGCGCCACAGGAAGGTCAGTCCAAAGGCAGATGGCCATGTCCCCATTCACCCTTGCCCGTGGCACCCGAAACTCCAGCCCCCAGTAGGGTACAGCACCCTCAAACACGTGACCAGAAGAAGTGGGGAGTGTGGATAAGGGGTTGCTGGTGACGCCTTCTGTCTATGACCCCAGCTACCTGGACCCCAGGAGCCCCTGGGTGGTACAGTGAATGCACTCAGCTGCTAACCAAAAGGTTGGCAGTTCAGTCCACGCAGAGGCATCTCGGAAGAAAGGCCTGGCAGTCTACTTCCGAAAAGTCGGCCATTGAAAACCCCGCGGAGAACAGTTCTACTCTGACACACAGGAGGTCACTGAGTTGGAGTTGACTCAACGGCCACTTTTTTTAATCCTCCTGACCTTTTCCATTCAAAATCTTAGGGACTCCTGCTGAAGGATCCTCAGCCCCTTCTTTTTTTTTTAATAATATTTTATGGTGGTAAAATACACATAACATAAAAATACCATCAGTGACATTAGGTGCACTCACAGGGTTGTGCGACCATCACCACTGTCTGGTTCCAGAACATTCTATCACCCCTAAAAGAAACGGCATACCCATTAGCAGTCACTCCCCACCCTCCCTCCCCAAGCCCCAGGCAACCACTAATCCATTTCCCGTCTCTGTGGACTTGCCTCTTCTGGACATTTCACATCAGTGGGATCAGACGCCGTGTGACACTCTAGTTTCCCTCACTGAGCATCACATTTTCGAGGTTCACTCATGTTGTAGCGTGAATCAGAGCTTTGTTCCTTTTTATGGCAGAGTAATATTCCCTCGGGTGGATGGACCAGAGTCCCTAGGTAGCTGAACCCCCGCAACAGTGCTGTGAGAGAAAGTCCTGGCGATCTGCTCCCATAAAAATCACAGCCAAGAAAACCCTGTGGAGCAGTTCTACTCTGTAACACATGGGGTCGCCGTGAGTCGGGATCGACTCCATGGCAACAGTTTAGGTTTTTTTGTTTATGGCTATAGTACAACGAGACGGATTGACACAGTGGCTGCAACAGTGGGCTCAGGCATAACAACGACTGTGAGGATGGAGCAGGACCGGGCAGTGTTTCGTTCTGTTGTACATAGGGTCACTGTGAGTCGGAACCGACTCGACAGCACCTAACAACAACGACGAATACCATACTGTGTTCATCCACTCATCTGTTGATGGACACTTGGGTTATTTCCAAACCAAAAAAAAAAACAAACCAAACCCATTGCCCACGAGTCAATTCTGACCCATAGCGACCCTGTAGGACAGAGTAGAACTACCTCATAGTGTTCCCAAGGTTGTAAATCTTTAGGGAAGCAGATGGCCACGGAGTGGCTGGTGGGTTCGAACCGCTGACCTCTGGGTTAGCAGCCAAGTGCTTAACCACTGTGCCACCAGGGCTGTCACCAGCGTTTGTCTGTTGTGAGTTATGTCTCAGCACCTTCTCTTTCCTCTGTCCTCCTTCTGCCCGCCCACAGGTCTCCAAAGCCTCATCCGAACTCATGAGTTACTGTGAGCAGCACGCCCGGAGCGACCCCTTGCTGGTTGGAGTTCCTGCTTCCGAGAACCCGTTTAAGGACAAGAAGCCTTGTATTATTCTATAGCTGTGTTCTCTGCGTGCTCGGCTTCTCTCTCTCTGTCTCTCTGTCCTATCTCTCTCTCTCTCAGGCAGGGCATCTTTCAGTCCTTAGCTCAAGCAAAACATCTCAAGCCCCCAGCACTTTTAACCCAACATAAATGCGGGATGCCCGGATGGGGTAATAACCAACAATCCTCTAGGTCTAGATGGATCTTCACACCAACATCACAACCCCCTCAAAGACCCTGCCCAAAGACGGGTGGTGGTCTCACAACCACTTCCGATTCAGAGCAGCCGAAACGCCCCAGCGACGCGGTAACCGTTTAACGCCCTCCGTTGCCATTTGAATTGTGGTCGGGCGGCTGAGCTGGGTGGGGACAAGGGGACAGAGGTGGGGAATCTGCCCCCGGCTCAGGCTGACCTGGCTGGCCGGCCATTTCCTCATAATTGGCTGTTTACGAAAAGGTTTCCGCCAGGCCGCTGGGATGTTTTTAAAACGGGCAAAATTTGGTGGCACATAGCTACCTTTTCTGGAAAAAATCTCTCCTCTTTGTTTAAAAAGTTGTTACTCCAGGCTGCTGAAATCAGCTTGTGATGGCGGAGCCTGTAGTTAAGCTGCAGCGTGTGATGTACAGGGCGGTTTAGGGGCTGGGAAGAGGGCAGGGAGGGGAGGGGGACTTTGTCTGTGAAATGCAGCGCGTGGCGCCAAGCGTCACCCAACCGCGTGGCAGTGTCACCAGCAGCCACGCCGTGGCCCTTGACCTTCCCTCCGAGGCCCCGCCATCACGGAATCGGCTTTTCCTCTACTCGCCCCCGGGAGAGTAACTGCTTGAATCGCCAGCTGTCTTTTGTTTGAAGCACGAGCCCTGGATGCGGTGGCTCGCGGCTTTGACGGTCTCTGGCGTCTCCGGGGTCCCACTTCTGCGCGCCGCCACGGCCGTGTTACAAACAGAAGCGCCGTCTGGGGTGATGGTTCCGCCGGGCGGGTCGAGCCGTGCTTGGCTTTGGCGTGGAGAGTTTCTAAACGATTTGAAAGTAATCTTTGACGATGAGATTCAACGCTGGCACTCGGCTCTCCCCCTTCCTGCTCTCGTCTGGTTGTTGCGCTCTTAAAACCAGCTGCTGCCACGTGGCCCCTGACTCACTGTGACCCCACGTGCGTCAGAGTAGAGCCGCGCTCCGGAGGGTTTTTGATGGCTGATTTTTCGGAAAGGCCCCTGGGTGACGCAAACGATTTGCATTCATCTACTAACCTAAAAATTGGCGTTTCGAACCTCCCCAGTGCTGCTGCAGAAGAAAGGCCTGGTGATCCACTTCTAGAAAAGATTATAGCCAAGAAAACCCTACGGAGCAGTTCTACTCTGTAACACATGGGGTCGCTGTGAGTTGGAATCAACTGGATGGCAATGAGGTTTTTTTTTAACAGATCCTTTGCAAGTGGATCACCAGACCTTTCTCCCGAGGCACCTGTGGGTGAACTCGAACCCCTAACTTTTTGGCGAGCAGTGAGCACGTCCACCGTTCGTACCACCCTGTCTCCCTCGTAGTCCCTGCACAACCCAGAACGTCGGTTCAGGGAAGTGAGATGTGTTCTGAATGGAATCCGCCACTTTCCCACCAGCTCTGGAAATTTAAGATGGCGTGGGGTTGGTGGAGGGAGGGGGCCCTTTTATACAAACGAGTGTTTCCTCTCTGACTCAGCAGTGACGGTTCCTTTAACAAGCGGCAGGAGGAAGGGGCTAGACGCACCCCTGACCCCTCCTGCCAGCGTCTCCTGCAGCCAAACCTGAGAGGTGTTCATGGGTGGCCAGGATACCACGCAACCCTGAGCTCAGGACTGCCCCTCTGTCCCTGCAGCCCCAACGGAACTCAGAGTCTCGAGGCTGCTGGTGCCAGCAGGTTCCCGGACGGCCAGCAGGCCCCGGGCCTCACCTTACAGCCAGCAGTCCAGGGGAGGCGGGACAGAGCCGCCTGCCCTGCAAGAGTGCCAACTCCCCACCCCGTCCTCAGCCCTGCCTCCCGAGGCATGTGCCGAGGCACCCAGCTTGCCGACGCTAAGACGTTGAGAGGGTCTGGGTGCAATGCAGGACTCCCTGGGTAGTGCAGACGCGCAAGCGCTCTGCTAGTAACCAAAAGGTTGATGGTTCGAGTCCTCCCAGAGGTGCCTCAGAAGAAAGGCCTGGGGATCTCCTTCGGAAAACTCAGCTGTCGAAAGCTTTACGGAGCACAGTTCTACTCTGACACACACAGGGTCACTGTGAGTAGAGGTGCACTCAGTGGCAGCTGGTTTGAATTTTTGAGGGCATGTAACGTAGTTGAGGAGCCCTGGTGGCACAGTGGTTAAACGCTCAGCTGCTCACCAAAAGGTCAGCAGTTTGAATCCAGCAGCCGCTCCTTGGTGGCCCTATGGGGCAGCTCTGCGCTGTCCTAGAGGGTCGCTGTGAGTCGGAATCAACTCGACGGCAACGGGTTTGGTTTTTGGTTTTAACGCACTTGAAAGGACCTCTGGTGGTGCACCAGTTAAGCGCTCAGCTGCTAACCGAAAGGGTGGCAGTTCAGACCCACCCAGTGGCTCCACGGGAGAAGGCCCTGGCGATCTGCTGCAGTAAAGATCACAGCCCAGGAGGCCCCGTGAGGCAGTTCTGCTCTGTCAATGTGGGGTCGCTGTGAGTCGGAGTCACCTCGACAGCACCCAGCAACGGCGGCGGCAGCAATGCAGGTGAAGAGATGGTGCAGACAGAAGTGGGGACCCTCCAGTCCCTCACCACAACCCCGTCACCATTTCAGTGGCTCCCTCCCGGTTCCGGTCTGGAGGGAAGTCACAGCCCCTGGGCTGGCTCCCAGGGGGCCTGGAAGACGAGGTCAAGGCACCCCCCGACACCCCACGTTCTGCGGCAGGTCCAGGAACGCCAGGGGCTTTGGGGAGGTTGACTCCACTGAGCCTGATGGGGTCAACAGCTTCCAGACCCTGCAGCCTCCCTTTCATGGGGCTGAGCCGGCCGGGCCATGCTGAGCGGGAAGGACAGGAAGGGGCAAAGACAGCTTCCCCACACGCAGGGTACACCGTAACCTAGGGTGCTGGAGGCGCCAGGAGACCAGAGCCTGTGAAGCAAGCATCTGATGAAGGCAGCCGGCAGAGTGTAGCCCGAGACCACGTCTGTGCCCAGAAACCCCCTCCCCACCCATCCCTTCCCACCCACCCATCCTGGCAGCTGCTCACTCGTAACCGCGGGGAAGGCAGCCCCCTTCCTCTTCAGGGAAGTCCCCAGGTGGTACCAATGGTTTACATGCTCAGCCGCTGAGAGGTTGGCACTTCAAGTCCACTCAGAGGTGCCTCAGAAGAAAGGCCTGGTGATCTACTTCCGAAAGCTCAGCTGTGGAAAAGCCCACGGAACACAGTTCTACTCTGACACATGGGGGGTCGCCAGGAGTCGGGGTCGACTCTGGCAACTGGTTTTCCTCTTTAAAAGAAGCTTTAACCCCGTGAGGCCACCTCAGATCCTCGCACACCCGAGCCCCTCCTGCGTCCCCCTCGTCCAGCCCGTCAGGCCACCAGGCTCCAAAGAGGACAAGAGGGCTTAGAGCCACGTGTGCCAAGCCCAGCCCACCCGTGTGTCTCTCCCCACCAGAGGAGACAGCGGGGAGTCAAAGCTGCTGGAGGGATGCAGACCAGAGCGGCCAAGGCCCCTGGGCCAGGGGGTGGGGTTCAAGCCAAGCCTCCCCAGCCTCAGCCCCTCTGGGCTCAACTGCCTGGCAGCCTTTTAGGTTCATCGACCCTAAATCCCACATCCCCTGCTCCACCCAGCGCTGACGTCCCCAGGGGGAATCTCGGAGCCAGAAGAGGCTCCCGAGTCCACGAAGTCCAAGACCACTCCCAGGGTGTGAGGCCCGCGTCCTGGGTAAACTGAAGCCACAGGGGAAAACCATGTTGTTGTCTCCTGCTAGCTGGCCTCTGCTGCCTGCTTCCGGGTCGTCCCCCATCCTGCCCCATCCCCCAGTGCCCCCTGCCTCCTCCTCTGGGTGCCCCCTGCCCCGTCCCCTACACCCGGTGACCCAGCCACCTCCAAGCCATGGGCAAAAGCAAGCAAGTTCCTGGCTGAGGAAAAACCCTCCTTTTTCTTTCTAATTTCGTTTTCGAGTCACTCTCGGTGGCCCTGCTAGGGGATGTGTTTTGTCCTTCCCACGTAAGCACGCGGTACAGTCCCTGCCTGCCGGAGTGTGGACCTTAGGAAGCTCCCTGGCTCTCTTGGGGGCCTGAGTCCCCGACCCCCCGGCCCGGCGGGGAGCAGGTGTCAGGGGTGGGAGTGAAACTCACACCTCCCAGCCGAGTCGTGGGAAAAAAGACAATGTAAGGACAGACAAAAAGAAGAGGCGTGGGTGGGAGGAACGGCGTTTCCCTTCTCCCCATGGGTCAGTGTTTCCAACGGGGCTGGACGGTGGTGCCGTCACCTCGCCGAGCCCCTGGCCCCAGGGCACACCTGGGCAATGCCAAGGCCAGCAGGGGCTCAGGAAGGAGCTGCAACGTGCACCCTGCCTCCATGCCCCCCTAAAGGCAGCCCCCAGCCCAAGGATGAAGTGGCTCGGTTGTGACCTTCGGCCCCCAGGGACATAAACCGCCATGGTGACGGCAGGAAGTGTGTGTCTTTCTTTCCTCCGCTGGGCCCCTTTGATGCCCTGTCACTGAGCCCCGGGGTCGCCAGGCTCCAGGCACCCCGTCCATCTCGTTCACGGCCCCAAGCTCGGGGGGGCCGGCAGGAAAAGACCATCTCGCCACCGCCCGAGCATGAGGGACCCCGGGGGGCCGTTTCCAGGCGCTGCCGAAACCATCAAACCATCTCCGTCCCTTATGGAGCACTTTTAAAAAAAAAGTCACTCAACAACAACAGACAAACTACATAAATAAGTAAAGTCGGCCGAACCCTCCCTCGCCCGCGACAACCCCACGTCACGTACTGTGTGCGTTTCCTTCTCTGCCATCGAGACCTTTGCCAAACGCTGTAAGAGGCTGGGTCCCTGTTTTCAGAAGCCATCTGTGGTTCTCGAAGGCTTTCCTCTGCATTGGGACATCTGGTTGTTTTTATTTCCGATTTTTAAAACTCTGGATGCGCCCTCACCTGCTCTTTCTCACAGTGTTTTAATATCGTGTGGAATTGTTCATACAAAGTGAATGAACTCCCAATAAAAAGGCTCACTATTCCTTTTCTCCTGGCTCCGCGCCTTCCTTCTCGCCCGGCCGAGGGACAAGGGCTCTCTCTGGCCTCCACCAGCAGGACAACAGGGGTTCAGTTCTGCTGGTGGGGATGCGCAGCCTCCCACCATCCACACCCCTCTGGTCAGGTTCATGCGGGGCAGTGTGCAGCCGAGGGCTGAGGCACCTACAAAAGTGAGCGATGTTCCACGTCGATGGACTTCCAGCAGATTCGTAATTAGAAAATTTGGGAGGGGGAGCTGTTTTAGTACCTGCCTACACATGTTATACGTCCCAGAGTTCAGAATTGTTTCTGGGAAGGCACCCTGACTTTTAAGGGCTTAAAGCAGGGGAAAGTCTTTTTTTTTTTTTTTAATCATGGTGCAACCATTCTCGCTGTCTGTTTCCAGATCATTCCACCACCTTTAACATAAACTCAGTGCCCCCTAAGCAAAATCTCCCCCTCTCCCTCTTCCTCCCACCCCTGGTAACCACTAATAATCTTTGGTTCCTGTGTATTGGCTTGTTTCTTAGAAGTGAGATCAGACAGCATTTGTCCTTTTGCGACAGACATATTTCACTCAGCCTGATGTTTTCAGGATTCACCCATGTTGTGGCATGCGTCAGGACTTCATTATTCTTTGTGTGTGTATACCATTCATTTGCTGATACACACTTTGCTTGCTTCCACCTTTTGGCTATTGCGAACTGTGCTGCAGTGAACCCTGGTGTACAGGTTCCTGTTTGCATTCCTGCCTTCAGTTCTTTTGGGTACATACCCAGGAGCGGAATTGCTGGCTCAAATGGTAATTCTACGTTCAACTTTTTTTTTTTATTTTTGTAGTTTAAGTGAAAGTTTACAATTCAAGTTAGTCTCTCAGACAAAAATTTATACTTACATTGTTATGGGACCCTAATTGCTCTCCCTGTACTGCGACAGCACACTCTTCCTTTCCACCCCAGATTTCCCGTGTCCATTCAACCAGCTCCTATTCCTTTCTGCCTTCTCATCTCCCCTCCAGACAGAAGCTGCCCATTTAGTCTCATGTATCTACTTGAGCTAAGAAGCAAACTCTTCACGAGTATCATTTTATGTCTCACAGTCCAGTCCAATCTTTGTCTGAAGAGTTGGTCTCGGGAATGGTTTTAGTTCTGGATTGACAGAGAGTCTGGGGGCCATGCTTTCTGGGGTTCCTCCAGTCTCAGAACATCGAGTCTGGTCTTTTTACTAGGATTTGAGTTCTGCATCCCAACCTTCCCCTGCTACATCAGGGACTCTCTGTTCTGTGTTCAACTTTTTGAGGAACGACCACACTGTAGGCCACGGCAGCATGTACCATTCTGTATACCCACCAGCAATGGATGAGGGTCCCCGTTTCTCCACAAGCTCGCCAACACCTGTTGTTTCCCATTTTCTGGATCACTGCCATTCTAATGGGTGTGAGGTGGTATCCCATTGTCTGTGGGAAGGTCCTAATCCTGCCCCTTCGGCCTGGTTCTTCTGCTCT